AGGTGGCCAGAGGAGCCGTGTGGAAAAGCTGCTTCTCTCACCTCTGGTCCTTTCACTTCACCTCCTGCAGGCACCTGGACAACCATAATAGTTAAGAAGATGGCCCCAGAATCACAGAGAACTGGTTCACACACCTGATGGCTGGGTGACTGTGGGCGAGTTATTGAACATCTGTCCTGTGCAATGAGACTTATATCATAGCTCTCAAGGGAGAAGAGCCATGTCTGAGTGCCACCGCCCCCACACACTGCCTGTGAAGTGCTTTGCACATAGCTGCCTGCAGGGGGTGCTCCAGCACCCGGGGACATTTCTGTTCTGAGCCCCCAACTCTGCCTCAAAAAGCACCCACTAGCTCACCCAGGGGCTGAAACTCAGGGACAAGTTTGGGAACTTGCCATTACCTCCCTTCTGACCCAGATAGGATGGCAGACACTCAGTGTAGGGAGGGACTCGAAGAAAGTGGAGGTGCAGGCTAGCAAGCAACTCTGCCCTCTTAAAGACCTGCCTCAGCTGTTAGCTCCTTTTTCTCTTTCCTCAAGATAGGGTGATTGTTTTCAGACAAAAACAAGACTAAGACTTCCTTAGTCTCCTAGAACTTCTTTCTCTTTTATCATTACCTCCTGTTATGGTTTAGATAAGAGGTGTCTCCCAAAAGCTTATGTGTGAGGCAATGCAGGAAGGTTTAGAGGTGAAATGATTGGGTTACGAGAACCTTAAACTAATCAGTGAATTGATCCCCTGATGTGATTAATTGAGTGGTGACTGAAGGCAGGTAGGATGTGGCTGGAAGAGGTGAGCAATGGGGGCGTGACATTGGGGTATATATTTTGTCCATGGTGAGGGAGTCTCTTTGTCCCTAAGCCACATGCTTGTTGTTTAAACAGAGAGGGGGAGATGTTGAGAGCCACAGCCGAAGGGGCCCCAGCAAACTTCCAGCTGCCGGTGATGATTGTCTCACAGCGGCCCCAGCAACATCTAGCTGATTGGCTCCTCTGCGGTGATGCTCATTGGGCTATTTCCCTGCCCTTTCAGACCACGGAGCTGCTCATTGGGGGACTTCTTTGGCTCCGCCCATGCGACACAGCCAATCGGCCTCAAGAGCAGGAGGTGGAGAGGCTTGTGTTAGTGTGAGAGGCTTGTGGGAAGCCGGTGGTGGCAGTTGGGCTCTAAGGGTTTTTCCTGAGGAGCTGTTTTGTTTGGCGTGTGTGGTTCTAAAAATAAAGTTAGTTTCTTTTGACAAGTGGCTCCTGAATTGTGCCCAGCCAGACTGCGGCACATGGTGAGGGGAGTCTCTTTGTTTTTCTCTGCTTCCTGATGCCATGTCCTGAACCACTTTCCTCCACTGCACTCTTCCACCATGATGTTCTGCCTCATCTCAAGCCTCAGGGAATGGAGTCAGCCATCTATGGACCGACACCTCAGAAACCGTGAGCCCCCCAATATGCTTTTCCTCCTCTAAAATTATTCTTGCCAGGTCTCTTGGTTGCAGCAGTGAAAAAACTGACACACACACCCCACCTACTTTCTATTCACATGTGAACAGCAAAAAGGACATGCAGTTGGGAGGTGCCAGACCTGAGTTCAAGTCTTATTTGACTGAGTACTCTGTGGCCTAGGACTGCTGCACCCACTGATAAAACAGCACAGGAATGACTGCAGACCGAGTCAGTGCACAGGGGGCCCCTACTGCAGTGAGATACACTGAGACCCTTAATGAGGATCCACAACAGTTTCTGGTCTCCAAGAGTCGGAATTTCAGGTCTTTCCTTACTTCTCCCCACCTCCCTGGTCCATTACCCAAACCCACTTCACTCCTCACTATCAACTCAGCTAGAAGATGGGGACCAGTTGTTTTGTCAAATACTAGTCTAGATGTTGCTATAAAAATATTATTTATGTTATAATATATGTTATTAACACAATAATATATGTTATTAACACAAGTGGTACAGTTTTAATAAAGGCAATTGCTTTCTATAAAGTAGGTGGGCCTCATCCAATCAGTACAAGACCTTAAGAGCAAATAGGTTCCGTTGAGGTTCCCCATAGAATTCTGCTTCCAGACCATCACAGAAATTCTGCCTGAGCTTCCTGCCTTTGAACTCAAGACTCCAAACCTCAGCTCTTACCCAAATCTCTTGTCTGACAGACTTGCCAACCCCCACAATCATGTGAACCAATTCCTTAAAACCTGCTCCCCTTGTATTGTCTTGTCTCTCTCCTTCTCCCTCTCCCTCTCTCAACTCTCATCTCTGTCTCCTTATCTCCTTCTCTTTCTCTGAAGAACACTCACTGACATATGGAGCACTCTGCCATGCTAACCCATCAGTCCATCTTTTTACCCTGATTTGCCACATTGCTACTAGTAGGGCAAAACCCCAGGCCTATTACAAGGTCAGCACAAGCTGATAGGTCATTTCTCTTCTTCCCTTTCAAGCAGCCTGGTGTAGTGGGGAGGTTCATGTCTTGCACATTCCTTTAGCATCTCTCTGCCACGTAGCCAGAACCATGCCCTGTCCCTCAGAGCTGCTGGAAAGCTGTCCGCTCTGTCTGTCTCGGCTATACTCTAGAGGGTGGGAGCAGGGAAGGGCCAACATACTTCCACTCCCTTACATCTTGGTGACAATAATCAATTCAGAAAAGTCTGGCTTTTTTTTTTTTCATGGGACTGAGTCCATAAATCGGGCAATAAGCCAGCTCTGGAATAAAGCTGAGAATAATTCCTAACAACCCAAGAGAAACCCAGTCCAGCAGAGGAAAGTTCTCTGCACTGAGGTCAAAGCTACAGCCCAAATCCAAAACTAAAATTTTGAAAAGTTTAAAATCCACAGCTGGCAGCAAAGGTTAACTAACTCAGTCTGCTAGGACCGCACTGGGAGAGATCATTGATCCGAGGCTGTACTCCTTGAGCCTCTGGCCACATGCTATTTTAATACCGTCAAAATTTCACGCCAGCTGCTAGCGTCTGCTGTGTCAGCGCATCAGTGCCAGGGTTGCTGATCACTCCCTGGGGACAGCAGCCCTTCGTTTTCTTCTTCTCTCTCCTCATTTCTCCTCCATGGGGTTTCCTCTTTTCTCTCTCCTTCCTTCTTTTGCCCCCTTCCTTCACCTTCTTCTCTTCAGCTTCCCCCCTCTCCCCAACATGACTTCTTCAGGACCCACTGGGGGAGCAGGAGGGACCAAGGAGAATGACTCTCCCGGAGGCCCCTTCCTTTGGCATGTCCACACAGGTGACACCAGGAGCGGTGCTGAGCAGACACACCCAGAGGGTGCCCAACAGGCCAACATCTGCAGAGTGCCACTGTGCAGAGCCAAAGGCAGGGGCACAGGGAGGGGAAGCAAGAGGCGGCCAGAGGGAGGCTGTGGATTTGACCATGTTTCTTTTTGAGCCAAATTAAACAGAGCTGTGGCTGACAGCAAGCGTCCAGCGCCTGACTGCTGGAGTTCAAATCCTGGCTCCCCCAATTCCAAGATCCGTCACTTGGGGCAAGTTATTTAACCACTGGGGCCTTAGTTTTCTCATGTATAAAATGAGAACAGTAACGTGTCCTCCCTCGTGGGGTTGTGTGGGAATTAAAGGAGTAAATAAAGACCTGTGAAGTGCTTACAGCACTGCCTGGCGTGTGGCCACTGGCCAAGAAGTGCCAGCTGTTCTCAATCCCATGGGAAACTGAGGCAGCTTACAAGAATCAAAACCATCTGTCACCTCGACCCTCTCTGAAATCCTGTGAGGGAGGGGAAGAGGGGACCCAACGTCACAGTTGGGAGGCACAAGCTCCAGGTGTGTCTAATGGAACTTTCCGTGCGCCAAGGCACAGGAAGAGCGTGCTACAGGCTAAGTAGATAGAGTCTGAGCACCCACCATGGGCCCAACACAGGAAATCGTATTCCACGTGCCAAACGCCCACTTCACCCAGTCTGTGGGACAGCATTCCATTTCCAAGATGGTGACTGCCCACGCCTCCAATATGCATGTGAGTCCTACAAAATTCAACACTCCAATTTAGTAACATAAATGTCGTTCACATCTGAAGTGTGCTACCCAAGGAAAATGCTTGGAAATGCTGCCTTAAACGTGGTCTTTGAATATAGGTTATCTGTCTCTTTCAATGATTCTTTGGTTTTACTTGATTTTATAATTACCCAGTTCTCTTCCCCCAGTTTTTATCTGAATCCCTTATATGCAAATGTAAAAATGGAACATTTTCATACTGATGTGTAAAAGTGACCCTATGGAGCCATATATTTCAGATTTAAGGTTCTTGGTTCTAAATAGGAAGGTTGTATATGTTTAGGCCACATGTCATAGTGATGGAGCAAGGGTCACTACAGGTGGTAAGAGAATTAATTCTAAGTCCAATTTAAAATATTCACAATATTGTGAAAAGAAAAAAAAATGTGAGTTTTATCCACTAGGGGGCCACGCTCCTCAGAGCTGACTAAGGACCATAGAAGAAGCTGGTATTGCACTTTAGAAGAAACAAATTATTGGCCCTCTTACATTTGAAAAGAGAAGGCAGAGAAATAGAGATTTTAGGAGGGCTATACTGACCATATGTCCCCTATATCCCTGCCGCTCCTAAAAGCCTGATGAGGGGAATCACTTCTAGGTTGAAGCAAAGTCACTAAATAAGATGGAAGAGAGATCCCAGAGGAAACCCAGGAAGACTCTTTCCCCTCCTGCTCACATCTCACTCACACAACCACAGCCATCACTTTGCAATTGAAGTATCTTCATTTCCCAAGAGACAGCAGCTTCTGGAAGACAAGCAACGTGCCCCTGCCTTGCATGTTCCAGTGCCTGGCACCTATGCACATCATGCCAGGTATTCATGTAGATGCTTGTTGAGTGACTTAATGTAGGCATTAGGCAAACAAAGTTGAACTCTTTACGACAGGGAAGAGGAAATCAATTTGAAAATGTGATTCTGATGGTATAAAAGACATGGGAATGAGTATTTTTTAAAATCCAATTTTTTAAAAAATACAGTATATATTACCTGGTGACTGCTGGTCTCAGATACTTTAACATCCAAAGACCCTGCCAGGACAGCATACCAGTTTGTCCCAATATCACCCTGGCGAAATACTGAAAAAAAAACCAGAAATATAAATATATCAAGTACAGGTTGGTTTTGTCCCATCATCTGATAGCTCTGCACTAGTTATTATAAGCATGGCTTGAATCTAACTGAGCTTAGTTCTCCTCCAGTACCTGTTCCCACCAGACATGGCTTGTTTTTCTTTATCTCACTCATCAACAAAGTTATATTCTATTCACTCAACATTCTGTGAAGTGGATCTCTAGGAACAGAGCTCTTCCATATTTATACAGCTGTAATAGGAGATGACAACCCTAGCCATAGGATCCTTTAAATCTAATAAGTTACTGATGTTCTGTGCAATTTATCTTAATATATCTCATTGAATTGTGATTCTTGAAAAATTATGATGCTAAGTGGAATACTGAGTAACAAGGTTATTTGACTTAACAGGCTACACTACTCCAATTTCCTAAAACTATATTAAAATTAATGTTTTCTAGAATAGCATGTCTCCTTTTAAGCAGACTGATAAATATTTTTAAATCTGCTTTGTCTGAAAATTTTAAAGTAGCCTATCATCAGTGTGCATTTTCTTGTTTGTTTCCTAAATTGACGGCTTTTAGACATTTGAAAATGATTCTCATCAAACATTTCTGAATCTGACTTTGCTTTGAGTTTATAATCCCAGAGAGGAATTTTTTAGATATTTAGGTACAACCTTAGTTCCCATATCATGTTAAGGTCACACTTTGGAAAGTAACCCTGAAACACTCATTGAAAACTCTCATACCAACCAAGTGTCTTCTTAAATATGAGGACTGATGGATTTACAGTGGACCTCCCTGCAACTCCACTACTCACAGCCTGTGGACCTGGCTGGTTTTAGAGTTAGGGTCTGCCTTTCATGAACTTCTCAGCCCCCAAAGACATTATCATTGGTCAATCAAATTCACATTTTATACCATGGAAAATTCATTTTGAAAATGGCCTTAAGAAATAAAAATTCTCAGCCCCCAAAAGAATGAAGTTTCTGTTATTAATAAAATATATACAGGCTGGGGTTGAGGCTCAGTGGTAGAGTGGGGCACTGGGTTCCATCCTCAGCACCACAAAGTAAATAAAATAAAGGTCTTGTGCCCATCTACAACTAAAAAAAGAGTCTTTAAAATATATACATATATGCTTTAAAATGGTATGTATAATTGATTTGAAAAACAGAAATGTGATTTTTTGTGTACACATGGGAAACATCTTGAAGGATGCATATAAAATGTTAAGAACAACCTCTGAATTGGGGTTGTAGGTAATTGTTTTGTTGATTTTTCCATATTTTCTGTGACAGACCCTGCTGCTTCCCCACCCACAGTGAGTCCTGCACTCTTAGCTAACTGAACCACATTTTATATGAATTTTCCCTCCCTTCATAGGCCAGGTGCTCAGAGCGTGGGAGTTCCTCCCCTTGCCCCACTGGGGTAATTCCGATTGCTCTAAATCCATCATGGGCATCCCATTATCTCTGCCAGTGATAGTTTGGACATGGGCATGTGATACAATACAGGCCAATCAGATAGTACAGGAAGTCGGCCGGGGACTTCTGAAAAAGGGACACAAGAAGAAATGGTCCTTCAGCAGGGAATTTTTTTGTGTTGGCATGAAATGCTTCCAACTGCTCTAGCTGTCTGGGAACCATCTGTGAGAAGCCTGAGGACAAAAGCCAGCACCTGAGGATGCATACCAAAAAGAGAGAGAAGGAGGGAAGGACGGATTGAGCCACTTCATTAACTAACCCTGCAGTTGTTTTACCTCAGGACTTTTGATACAAGTAAATCATTTTTTTCCTTCTTTTATGAGTAATTCAAGGCAGTTGGATGGGAGTTTTCTGTTAATGCTGCATAAACCGTACAAACAGATGGAGAAGTATTACTTTTTAATTAAAAAATTATTTTTTAAAAATTATTATTTTATTTTTCCCTGCTCCTTATTTTACCTGGAATTAGAGGGGGATTAATTAAAAACATTACTACTAGCATTAGCTAAGAAAACTGTTTTTTTCTTTTTAATATCCTATTGATGACATATTTTTTGATTAAAGAAGATAACTATTTGAATTTCTAAAGATACAGCTAAATGAATGAGTCAGTGGGATGCCCTGGAAAACTCATTTACGTGCTGTGAACAAAGGAGTTAAGGCAATGCCTTCGTGGAATTGAATAAACAGAGGGAAATGTCCCACTTACTTCGACTGAACCTACATATTTGGCACATTAATAAACCCTCTGCATGTTCTCTCTCCCCCCCAGGGTAGCCACAAAATGAGCACAAACCACACACAGACAAATATACCCCTGGAGTTGTATTCCTTACATGTTATTCCTTTTTCCAAATTCTCATAATAACCACATAAACAAATCTGATGAAGGAGATTGGGGTGAAATTTCTCAAAAGCTTTAACTTCCTTCAGTCGTGTGAAGATTATATCCACATCTTCACTGGATCGTTCCAGGGGTCTATATAAGAGAGAAGAGGCAAAAAAAAAAAAAAAAAAAAAACCTGTGTCAGTAATGATGTACTTGAAAACAAGCCAAAAGGCATCATTCTAATTACATTCAAATGTCCCCAATGGTAAGTATTTCACTGCAAATATCTATCCACCTATCCCCATTATAGGTATTTCCGGACCTTTGTCAACTATTCATCTTAAATCTCTACCATCCAAACAGCCACGGAGAAGTCATTGTGAGTTCAAGGTAGTGTTTGTGGGAAGTGCTGGAGTGCTTAGAAGCATCAGGATATGATGAGATACATAAAAATGAAGATTTTACTCAAAATTGAGATCACAAAGAAAAATACCTGCAAGGGCCAGTTAGGTAAAGTGAGTAAAAAAGAGCCAAATATAAGGGGGGCGGGGTGAGGTAGAGTCTACTATCAGAAAATAATGCTGAAAATACAAACACCAATTAGAGGTGATGCTCCGCCTCATTGTTGGTTAATACTATAGGCAACTGAGAAGATCCCAGGGAGCTGAGAGATGGGAATGTCTGCAAGGAACAGCCCTTATTTGGCTGTTTTCCTTATTGCTGGTTTTCTGTGGAAACATGAGCTCAGATGTTGTCAGAGCTTCCATTTGTTCAAGGAAAACTAGATAATTTAAATTTTGTTTACTTTTTTTTTTTTTTTTTTGGTACTGAGGATTGAACCCAGGGGTGCTTTATGACGAGAGCTATATCCTAGCCCTTTTAATTTTTTCTTTTGAGACACAGTCTCACTATGATGCAAACAGATTATGCCATTACTGAATTTGCGATCCTCGTGTCTCAGCATCTCCACCCCCTCTCCAGTAGCTGGGATTACAGGCATGCACCACTGCACCAGGCCAGTTTACATTTCTCAAACATTATGTACACACACACAAAAAAATCTTTTATAGAAAAGACTCAACCTGCTGACCACCATATTATAATCTCTGGATTAAGATAAACCAAAGAAACAAACAAAAGTAGAGCAGTTTTACAAATTATGCAAATTATTTGTTTTTCCTTGAGCAGTATTACAAGTCTAGGAGTGTTTCCTGATAGATATTTCACATTACACAGAACCACCCAGACTCATATGTGCCCTGGAGCCTTCCCAAGCCAGAGGGAAAGAGCTGGTTGAGGATTGAAAAAGACAGGTAACGTTCACCAAATACCCCTGTGTGCCTCTGAATTTATCAGCCTTCCTTGTAGTTATGTTGGGAAACATTCTGGTCAGTAGACCATGAATGACACTAGCATGTGTCACTTCTGAGGGAGACTATTAACAGCCAATGGGTATCCCTCCTATTCTTCTCTTATAGCCACAAGTTGAAAGAGTGTTATTGATCTATTTGTGTCACTCAAAAAATATAGGTTGAAGTCCTAATACTCAGTATCTGTGCAGGTGGCTTTGTTTGGAAATTAGGTCTCTGTGGATGCAATCATGTTAAGATGATGTCATACTGGATGAGGGTAGACTCTAATTCAATAACTGGTGACCTTATTAAGAGGGAAATCTGGACCCAGAGAAGACCATCATGTGAAGGTGGCAGCAGAGACTGAAGTAATGTATCTACAAGCAAGGAATGTCAAGGACTACAGGCAACAATCAGAAGCCAGAAGGGACAAAGATGGATTCTTCCCTGGAGACTTCAGAGAAAATATGTCCAACACCTTTATTATATACTACTAACCTTCAAAACCATGAGAGAATACATGTATGTGTTTTTAAACCATTCAGCTGTGGTATCTTATTTTGAAAGCCCTAGGGAACTAATATAGAAGGTGTGTGTTTCATATGTTATAGTCACAAGATGGTGAATAACCACAAAAGACTTTGTGTACATGGCAGATAACCTCCATTGTGTGAAGCTGCTGAGATGGGGGTAGGGTAGGGGGAGATCACAGCACCACCTAGCATTACCCAGACTAATACACAAGGCAAAGCTAGCTGTGTCATTGTTCCAAAGAACTTGGGACGTTATTAGAGGAAGACATCTTGCCATGAGCAATGAACATTTTTGGAGGATGTGAGCAGATGACCTGTCACTAAAGGTAAAGACCAAAGACACAACTTTCATAAATGTAGTTTTGAGTCCCTTTCCCTCTCAACTTTCACCCCATCACACTTTAAGGCCCAAGAAACCTAGACTCAAGAAAAATGCCCACGACCTTCCACTAGCCTCCCAACTAACTCCTGCGAAGAGGTTTTATATTCTATTTCCTGGGGAAGAAGAAGGGAAATTCTGATGCATTAAGGTTCCATTTTTGAGATAACAATATGCATGAAAGAACAGATTCAGTCTTTACCTAGTCCTACAGTTTGAATGTGTCCCCCAAAAGTTCATGTGTTGGAAAGTTAATCCCCCAGAAAACCACGTTGAGAGGTGGAAACTTTAAGAACCATGAGGGCTCTGTCCTCACAAACAGATTATGCCATTATTTCAGGAGTGGGTTCTTGATAAAAGAATGAGGTCCCCACCCTCACTTCTCCTTTTCTCCCTTCCCTCCATGTTCTTGTGCACATGCACATGTGATCTCTTGCCCTTCTGCCTTCCACCATGTGATGAAACAGAGAGAAGGCCATTTTCAAGTGTGGATCCCTTGGCCTGGGGACTGCCCAGCCTCCAAAACCTTAAGAAATAATTTTTTTCTTTATAAGTTACTCAGTTGATGATTCTGTTGTAGCAGTGAAAAAATGGACTAAAATGCCTTGAAGGCACAGCACAGCAGTATCAGTGTCTCTTTCCACCTGAAATGCTGAACTCCTAACCAGAAGCAAAGTCTTCAGAGTTCAGGTTTTTAGAACTGAGACCAGAACTTCAGTAGTTAATAAAGAACTGCTTTATTTACTTTGTGTGCCTGGGGGTGAGGGGACACTTCCCAGGCAGTGAAGACAATAGCAGCTGGCAAAGCACCCCAGGGTGGGGAGCCAAGCCAGTAGAGCACGCTTCTTGGGAAGCAGTGTTGGTAGCAGCAGGGAGTCCGGTCACTGCATGGCAGCACTGGCACTGGTCTTACACCCAAGAGCAAGGGCAGCATGTAAATGACTAGAAGGAACCAAAGACCAGATGAGTCTGCAAATAGACTGGACATGGGTATGATGGATTCTACTTAGTTACACAGGAAAGGACAGAAGCAGAGATTAGAATCCATCGTTCATCAAGAGAGAAAGCAGCAGCCCTCTTTGTTTATTGTCCCCAGAGCATATTAGGAAGGCAGACCAGGATAGCTTAAAAATTTTTTTTTCTGGGAAAAAATGGATGCTAGAAAACAAGAGAAAAAATAATAATAATCTACTTCTACACAGGCCAAAATAAGCAGGAAAGAACTTCAAGATTCATAGCCAGATTGTTATTAAGAAAAACGATTGAACAAAATCAATTTGAGATAACTCAGGACAAAATTGAAAGTTATCCTCCTGATACATTAGTAACACCTGAGTTAGGTTCCAATAATGTCACCTATTTTTTAAATGTTTAGCCCCAGAAACTATGAAAAGCAACACATTATCTGTCATTACTTTTATTGGGTCCTTCATGGAGTGGGGAAAACTTCATTCAGCTATTAACTGACATAATTATTGTTCTACCTCTGTAATCTACCACTGGTGATAATCCTGCTGTTGCCTCTCTCAAGATCTCCAATTTCCTGCTGTTACACATATTCTCATCTGTGTCAAGGTCATGTCTGGAACTTCCTTTATAGATCCTATAGTACCCAGGCAAAGCCAAGCACGCAAGAACTCCTTGGATATAATGTTCTATGATGACCTCCAACTGAACTCATCTGCTCGCCTATACCTGCTGTACCTGCAAGCCCTGTTTCCATTCATGGAGTAGGCTTCCCCTCTGCTACGGTCTGAATGTGCTCCCCCAAATTCCCATGTTGGAAATCCAACGTTTAATTCAACAGTGCTGAGAAGTGGGACCTACCAGGAGGTATTTGAGTAATAAGGGTTCTGCTCTCCTGAATGGATGATTGCTGCTATGACAAGGGTCCATGCAAGGGGGTGCCACCTTCTGCCATGTGGTAATGCAGGAAGAAGCCCTTATCAGATGTTAGAGCCTTGATCTTGAACTTCCCAGACTCCAGAACTATCAGAAATAATTTTTTTCTTCATAGATTACCCAATCTCAGGTATTCAATTTTATAAGTACAAAATGGGGCTCAGGTACCCTCCCTCACCCTCTGTCACATCCACATAATTGTACTTACTAGTGTCTCTCAAATCCATCCCTTCCCTTCACACCCTACTGCCTTTCACCAGAGCATGAACCAAGGGCATGGGAAGTGCTTGCTGGGACGTGAAGCTGAACGGCAATGGCAGGCCTGTCCCAGGGGCCTGCAGAGCTGGGTTCTGACTAAGAGTCAGCAGAAGTATTTTCAGCAGGGTAGTGATAGGATTGGATGCACGTTTTGGAAAGATCACCTGGACTGTGAGAAGAGGCAGATGGAAGACAAGCAAGACCAGCAGCCAAGAGACGGGCTGGGAAGTTCTTGCAGAATATCAAGATGATGATGTGGTTTCTCTAATTAGAACTCACTCTAGGCTCCTTTCCTCTTCCTTAAAAACTGTGGACAGCTGGTCCCCCAAGTAAAAGCTCCAAGTACAAGAAGTTATCTTCCTTAGTCTGGCATTTACTACCCATGGCCCATTTTTAAAATCGCCTTTTAAAAATATTTCATTTAAAAACATGTTCACATGACAACAAAAGAATCATTCATAATCCTACAACTCAATAGCAAAAACAAAAATTAGTAATTCAATTTTAAAATGGGCTAGGGGCTAGGGAGGTAGGTCAGGGGTACAGCACTTCCTAGCAGGCATGGGGCCTGGGGTTTGAACCCCAATGCCAAAATAATTGATTTTTTTCCCTGAAAGTACTAGAGATTGAACTTTGAACATGCTAGGCAAGTGCTCTACCACTGAGCTACATCCCCAGTTCTGTTTTATTTTGGGGACAGGGTCTTGCTAAATTGTCCAGGTGAGTCACTGGGATTACAGGCATGTAATTATCCAAAATAAGTCATTAA